ATTTTAATCTTCTTTTGTGTTCTTTTTTCACACAGGATTAGCTCTCAGTTAGATCAGCAAGCAGGAAAAAGGCACGACTGTCCCTTTGGGCAGCAAGGTATTCTTAGAACAGTTAAACTGGAGCATGAAACCACACTTTTCACTAACATGACTTTAACACAGACATAAATTTACAGTCTAAACACAAGATGTTAAATGTTCAGTGGCCTAAGTCACTGAAAAGATACAAGCCTAAATTAATAGAATGCAACTAATTTAATTATTTTTCTCTAAGTGCTATCTAGAGTCAGGGCCCAGGCATTTTCAGGTTTAATGTAAATTTTGCATGGACAGCTTTTTAAGACTCCAAAAAACAGTGAGTTTTAGCATTTCTTTTTTTTGTCTTGGACAATGACAAATGGCAGTGATATTTTGCAGGGAATGCTGCAAAGAGCATTAGTTCATTGGAATCATTAATTTTCCTTCTAGCCAAACTTCAAATAAAGTATCACTTTCTCTGCACTTAATACATTTGGCTCAGATTCCATTTCTGAATGACATGTACAGAGCACCAAAAAGTGCAGAATAGTGATTTTTTCTGAAATGGTAGAATTAGAAATTTCTTAGCAAAATACTAATATAGCAAAAATTTTTACTATTTTTATTTTGTCATTAAATGTTGGTCTTACCCCACAGCTTGATAACAAATGATCTGGTAATGTATTAGAAAACTGAGTAAGTTTTGAATTAAAAAAAAAAAAGTTCCCAATCATCTTTAGACTTCCAAATACACACAGGAAAGAGAAACAGGGAACGGAGAAAGGTCACGTCTAAATTACACTGCACGATATATATTCTCATCCTTCACTTCATTCCTTCTGTCCTGTGGCCATGAAACAACCTTGCCTGCAGAAGCCATCCAGAGACACTGCTTCTCCTGGCTAAGAAGCCACTAGTGTTACACTGAAATATCCTTGTTCACCACAGTCCCTAGTAAAATTCCACTGAAGCCTCCAATACCCACTACTTCTGCAGAGGCACAGTGCTCGATGCATAGCTACTTTCTTGAAAATGTTTCACGTCTTCTGTTCCTTTTCTTTTTTTCTCTAATACAGGCATTTTGACTACTCTCATTCTGCAGTTTCCTCTGAGTTACACTGTACATGTATCAAAATGCTTCAGGATCACCTTTAGCTTGTGTTCAAATAAATACCTGACTGGACCTGGTACTTTTAGGTCTCCAGTGAAGAACATCAAGAACTTCTTTCTTCCTCAGCTGTACGCAGCCTAACAACATATACTGTGAAGTATGGGGAAAGAACCCCATAAGCTTTTTCAAGAAGCCTTGAGAAGTACAGAGGACATTGCTCCATGCAGTGTCCAAATGTTTCCAAACTGTTAGGAATCCCTGGAGCTTTTCATGAAGGTTTACTGAGTAGATAGCTACTGAGCCAGATGGAGCTATGTAAAGAAAATCATCAGCATTGTGATACAGAAAGCCCACAATGAAAAGCTGTGTCCAAAGGTCTCACAGTGTGCAAACAGCCTGTGGCCTGCTTCAGGGACACCTAATTTAAAATAAGAAGCTATATATGCTTCATACAACTTAGATCGCATTCACCCAGATTATCTTAGATTCATGGAGTCTGGCAGTAAGGCAAAAGTATTGTTTAGAGACACTCCACTCAAGGACATGCTTTTTCACACCAGTTCTCTTCTTTTTGGGGTAGTCTCCTTTCTATGTGGAGAGACCACAAGTTGAACCAGAGCAAAGAAGGAAAATTTTAAGAATGCACTGGCAAATCAGCAACTTTTATTGCTGCCTGATTCCAAATTAGCTAGGGAAATAATCCTGTCCCAAAAGAGCACTGCAAGATGTACTGTTCCCTTATAACAACTTTGTTCATAGCAGCTTGCATGCGGGGAGATTGCTTCTCAGTTTCTTAAGCGACTTGTCACAAGCTTTTCTCATTCTCATAATAGATACGTAGTGCAAAGTGCTAAACAAAGGGATGACTGATGTAAGCATCAAGCCGAGATCTTTCGATTCAAGCCAGTCCTTTGATGCTCTATTTTATCTGAAGCACTTTTCAATTACAAGCAGATTGCAAGAATAGTTTTCCCCATCCAATTTTATTAGCTTTATCAGTTGTGCTTGGCATAGGCTCTCTTTTGCAGCTAAAGGCCAATTATCTTTAATTAAAGAATAACTTTCACATTTTTCTTGAATAGCGTTTGTCTGTACTCTGTAAACCTGGAGAAACTATATAAAGCACCCTGACTCTACAGGCTGCAATTAGTAGAATTTTTGCCACTAACTTGGAAAAAAATGTGATCTTGGCTCCATTTGTCTAAATCATCTCTTCAGCAGAAGAAACGCTAAGTAGTCAAAGTCTTCAGCAAAACGCTGAAGAACATGCTTAAGAACAGGCACAAGCATTTTATTGAAGTTAGGCCATTTCCAATTATTTTATATTAGTCTCCCTCCAGTTTCCAGTTTCTGTTTCCTGAAGATAAGTTTCAAACTTGAGTTTAATTTAAAAAGGCCAGCTGATTTAAAAAGAATTCCCAGTGCAACTGAGTTGGCTGGCATATTTTACTGTTTGTATGTGGCACAGAGCTGCTCAGCTAAATCACCTTTTTCAGTCTTTCTTGCCAGCTGCCATCCAAGTGATAAATAAAGGGCTTTTAACTGGGTAGCAAAGCTTTCATTCCGGAGCAACTAAACAAAGAGGTCCTACATGCTGTTGTCATCACTGGAGTCACCAGTCAGCTCCCTTCATCCTCCAGTTTCAACACTGTTTTCCTTGAACCTGATTGCTGAATGTGACAACATAACAGACTGTATGAAAGCACCAGTGACCACATTGTTGATTTACTGATGAAAAGTATCTTTCCTTTTAATGGTAGTTTCCTATAGATAAAGAAAATACATTTTCTCAGAAGCTCACAATTTTGTAATTCAAAGTATAGATCTGTAAACTGCCCATTGAAGGCTGAGAAAGTTTGTCTTCCCCTCAGAAAGGATTAAAATAGATGTGAGTTATCCCACAGGCAAAAGCCTCACCATGTTCAGTAAAAACAAAAGAACAAAATTACTCATACCACAGGGAAACTCACAGCCTTGTGCCCTGAGTCTGAGGCAACTGTGGATGGATAACCCAGTGTTTTTTTGACTGCTTCAATAAAATAGAAAAATGAGGGAAAAGAAAATGTCCCTTATTCAGATTGAACTGCTTAAATGTGTTTGACTTCTCTTGTTGCTACACATTGCTCTTCTGCCAGGTCCTACCCACTCACTAAACATCTGGAACAACCACAGCCCATGCAGGACACAGGCACACAGGGGACAAACAGAAATGAAGAGGTAACAGCAGAAAACTTGATGGATGACCAGTACAGGTGAGCAGGAGCAAGACCTCCCCACTCTAACTGATCACACCTTGAGCTAAGTGGTACCATCAACCATTTTGAGGAAGGGCTGGGGCAGGAAGATCGGAAGTAACTGAAGGGCCACACTCTGCATGAGAGAGTCTACAGCCCTTTGAGGCCTAACATGCTCATTTTGAGTAGCCATTGCTCCCTGAAGCAAGAAAACTGAGGGCATGGTTCTGCCCTCAGCAGGATCCAGGCTCCTGCAGGGCTCGTGTCTCAGCAGAAATTGGAAACCAGGGACTGCTGCTCTCTCAAAGGCAAGACTTTGCTGCCGCAGGGAAAGGCAGAGACCTCCAGCTCCTGCTTGCTTCTGTGGTCAGAATGGGAGCCTTGACTGCTTCAGGAGGCAAAATTTGCTCAGTTGATGCCATTTGATATCTAGAAAATGCCAGCAAGCTGCTGTTTGCCACTATCCCACAAATGTAAGAGGTAGATCACAGCCATCCTTGGCAGGTTTGGACCTCAATAAAGGTGAGATAATGCACATTCTCCCCAGAAGGCAAGGTCAGTCCTCTCTGAAGAGTGGCATTTCCTAGCTGTCACTGAGCCCACAGCTGTCTGCTATGGTGGCAAGACCGCTGAGACAGCCCACTCTACAGGGCTCCTGGGAACTCAGCAGCAGCAGTGGCTTTATTCCTCCTCCCCAAAATGGGGATAAACAGACTTCCAACATACCAAAGCAGGTACTTAGCACATCTGTATGACCCCCATCTTGATCACTGTGCAGACCCCTACTGCAAACTCCACCGCTCCTCTTACCAATAGGAGGTAAGGACTTCTGTATATACACTCTTCAGCCGGGCAAAGTGACAGCTTGTGACTATACCAGGATTGCTGCCTATGTATTTATAGGCATAAAGACAGCCGAAGGCTTCATTCACATAATTTCAAGTAAACTGTGCATACACACATACACATTGTATTTATTGAGTAGTGCAGTGGAAACTTTACCCTGATATGTAACTTATCTGGAGTCAGCAGGAGATACAACCAGTGTAACCTGGGTAAGATTCACTTCTGTTTTTTGAGGTACCAGAAAAAAAATGTTATCAGTGCACTTCAGAGTAAGTCAGAAGAGTGTCTCTTTACTTAGCTGAGATCAGAACTGCCGCAACCTTTATACCAATAAATGTAAGAAAATGATATACCAAGAGGAAAGGTGAATATTCTAATGTGTTGTCCCAAGAATGTGCTGTTTACATCTAGGTTAGTTAAAGGTGCAAGACTAAACAACTCAATGGAAAACTCTCCTGTAAGAGTATTCTATTCCCTGCTACCAAAGGAGATGGTTGGAGATTGAGGGCAAAGATAGCTCAGTACAAATGCAATCCACATGATAGGATGCTGGGTTTTTCTCAGATGACTACAGCACACAGGCAGATCAGATGGTGACAATCTACAGTGCAGCTGGGGCCAGAAGACAATTAAAATTCAACTAAAAAATGGAAAATTATTTGGGAAATGAAAATAAACAACTATGCAATGGTGGGATTTAAAGAAAGGCAGGCCAGGAAACTTTTGATGAGTTTCCAAGATTCAGTGAGAGCTGAAATACCAACCCTGGTCAGCATCTTTGACAGCTTCCACTACAGCTTGCTCTTAGGGATGTCTGAGTCCATCAAGTGCTGCCAGAAAAAGGCCTGTATCCTGTGCCACGCATCTTCTTGGGCTTTGGCATGCTCCCTCCATTGCCCTCCCCAATGCACAAACACCCCAAGCACTTTGTGGATCGAAGCCTGGCACAGAGGCAAGTATGGTGGCTCCAAGAGGTGTCCTGCTCCAGAATAGGAGCAAAACTCCACTTCCCGTCCATGCTGCTGAAGGCGCTGAACAGCATCCTGGCAATAGAGGTCACTTTTCCAGTTCATGTCATCCAGTCCTGACAGGAAGAGGAACTTCGCCAAGGACCTCTCCATTGGAATGCGACAATCCCAAGTCGCTGGGTCCCTGTGATCATCTAGGATATCTGAAAAATCTACTAGGCCAGACTCGTCACTGATCTTCATCCTCCCCAAATCATATGGGTGGGGAGGAACGGTGAAGCCATCCCCCCGCAGAGGAATCAAAGAATTAAAACCACTTCCAGATATGCTGACAGCTGCCTTGATGCCAGGTAGAAATGTGGCCATGGAAAGGGCTAGATCAGCTCCTTTAGACAAGCCCAGAACGCCAATCCCAGTATCTTTGACCTGAAACACAGTTATGAAACAACCATTATCAACTACTCCTTGTTTTCTGGGCTGACATAACGTCTCCAGTTCTGCTTCCTCACTCCTCATCCAACTAAGACCACCCATATTTTATCCTTCTCTCTCTATTCAGGTTACATCACTCCCATATCGATCTTCTTGCTGAGCTTTCACAAGAGTGACTATGAATTCTACAGCTCCTCAACATTTCTCCTCCTGTAAAACTTTTTCTCCCTGGTGACCTCTATAGACAAAGCCTCTTTGCTCCCTCCACATCCTGGCTCGACCTTGCCCTCACTACTGTATCTTTTACAGCTCCTGTCCCCAGACACCCTCGATCTTCTCTCCTCAGGTCCCCTTTGGAAAACCACTTTTTCATGGGTTTACTTGCATTGATTTTCTTTCATGCCATTGCTTTTTGATATTCTCTTACAGCTGATCTGTTATCTTCTGGTTTGTCTCAGAACACATTACACCTGAGGCTGAGTAAGCCCAACAACTGTTTAAATTGACTTATTTATAGTGAAGGCTCTTCACACCAAATTCATTTCATAATATGTGCCTTTGTAAGATGATCTGGAAGTTTCAGAGCTCTATGAGGAACAAGACAAACAAGCAAGGCTGTATTCTGCTGTCACACTGGCTACATTCCTAGTGTCCACGTGCTAGAAAATAAATAACTTTGTGAAATGAATACCACATTAAGTAGCATTCCATTCAAAGTTTAAATACTACTTGATTTCTCTTGGTCTCTTTTGGTTTCAGTATGATGATATATTGCTATAAAGTGTCCTTCTCATCCCACATACTTGTTCAAATACAGCCGCAGTTTCTTAAGACATGGCACACTTTCCAGTGCTACAAACGTAAGGGTTTCTGTTGTTAAAGTGTTTTATTCCTGTCATGTGAAACTTACTAGAATCAAAAGGCTGTAACATTTCAGAAATAGTAGAAAAAGTCAATGGATTTTTTTCCCTTCTAAAATCTTGAAAGATACAAAAGTAGGGAAAAAAATTAAGCAGTGTTGTGCTTCTAGTCCAGGAACTGCTTTGATTTAATCTTATGCAAACACTGGTTTGCACGACACTCTATGGACTGTTGTAAGATGCTGTGCAAAACCAGCTGTCCAACTCCTTGCAAAACTGGAGTTGAGGCACATGCTTTTCCATCTCTCAGATCATGCTGTCTTTTAGACAATGCTGTTTCCTTCTAACATCTCAGAAACTTAGTTGCATTCAGTGACATAGCATTTCACATTAGAAAACTGGAAAATATTTTCCAACAGGATGAGCATCATAATTTATCTCTTACCTGCTGCTGCTTCCGCAAAAACTTTACAGCTTCCTCAAAATAATCCAGTTCAAGAATCTCTGGCATAGCAGGGAGATCTTCAAAGGCCATGTAAGCAAGAGCCAGAGTCACGAAGCCTCTGCTAGCCAGAAGACTTGCTCTGTATTCAACAAGACCTCCTCCAGATCCATACAAATCGATAAGTCCAGGGAATGGACCAGGTCCTGCAATGAAAGGTGTATATATAGAGATATACATACAAAGGGAAAAGTTTCTACAGTTGTCCTTTCTGTAGTAGCCCCTCAGCCCGTATCAGGACAGTATATCAAAAGGTAATCATCCTCTGAAGCTCTCCATAGAGGTTCTCATTCTCAGCCACACACACAATCACTGTAAGGACACTAATTTGGATATTTCTTCTCTCTCTTAGGAACTCACTATAGGAAGTTTTTATGTTGGGCACCCTGCTCCCACCATGAATTTCAGCTGAAATTGGCCTAGATGTTCTCAGGCCATTGGGGATTGATGAGCAAACAATATTGCTGCATGAGCTGCGGTTCTTTAGAAACTGTGCTAGCAAGTTTTCTGAGGAGGGAATACTTGAGTTATGAAATGCACCCACAAATGCCAGCACTGATCTACACCAATTCAGGCTTCAGTCTGATCTGGGTAACTACTCCTGGGCTTCTCAGTTTTCCTCCTGCACCCATAGGACCTTCCTTTCCTGCTGCTGCTCTTCCCATTCTTATAGCCAGACCTCCCTTACAAGATTTGGTGTCACAGCAGCTGCAAGGGACTTTTTATTCAGTACAGAGCAGGACATGCATGTTTAAGTACTGCTCAAGGAACATAAACAGTTAAGGGCTCAGAGCAGCTTTACACAGGATCCCGTCTCAGCACCGTCTCCATACGGACCTGCGGAATAAGATGCCTGTTTAATTAAAGACTTTGCTTTTCTCATTTGTCTCCCATCTTCCTAAGCATCCCGTGCAGTCAAGCTGCTCAACCAGGTCAAGAAGACTTCTTTCTTTGGCTTTTCTTTAGCCAAAGAGAGAGACAGAGAGACAAGTCCAGAGCCTGCAGGAAGATCCATGGCAGCTGTTGGAGCAGCCTAGGCTGGCTGCAGCCCAAGTCCAGTGCTCCCACCACACCTCGTCGTTCCTCACTTCACGGCCGGAGCTGTCATGCCTCACAGCTCTGCCAAACACCAGGGGCCTCTTTGTCCTGTCAGCTAAACAGAAGAGCTAAGAAATAAACACATTTTTCCACAGAGCTCTCACTGCAGAAGAGGTCCTGACCTCCCCCAGCTAGAGCAAACAAGACATAGGCATGTCTTGTGTTACCACTGCTGCCCTCCTTGCACACCCCTGCCTCGGCACTTGACCCGCCTGGGCAATGCTTGCTCCTCCCTGCTCTGCTGTGGGGATCCAAGTAGCCGGACCAAGCCCAGGCTGAGGGAACCATCAGCTGAGGCTTTCCTCTGGGTTGCCGAGTGCATCCAGGGGCCAAGGGGCACAGTACGTGGTGTCAGTCGCACCTGGAAAACCAGAACAGAATTAAAACTCACCAGGAGGGAGGAAGAGGGTTGCTTTCAGACGACCTTCTCTGACCGAAATCCTCTTCACCCCCTCTCCTAAAAACCATCGTTCATTGGTGCATTTTCCCAGCAAGCGGCTCATGTCCCCATGGCCCTCATACACTTCAAAGTCCACACAGAAAGGGGTCAGGACGTTCCTCTTTGCCAGCCGCTTATAGGGCGCTTTAGACTGCAGAGACCACAGCAGCCCCATCGGCTCCACTCCCGAATAGCTGCCCCCCAGCGCTGGGGAGCAGCTGAGGTCGAGCTCTCCGCTGCTCCCAGCTCTGTAGCGAGCGTGGGCTTGGAAAAGCTCCCCGCTCTCGTCAACCAGGCTGGCTCGGAGGGTGACCGCCTGCTGCGGCAGGAGACCCGCCACGCAGATCCGCACGGGCTCATCGAACAGGCACCTCGGGGAAGGCAGAACCGTCACCTGCACCGCCATCCCAGCTCTCCTGCCCTTTCTGGTGGCGAGGCACGGGCGGCGTGAGACAGGACCGTCAGGAGCCTGTCGCTTCTCGGGCTTAAAAATCTCTGCCCGAAGTCCAGGAGGAACCACGGCGACTGCTTCCTTCAGGCGGCGAGCGCGGGCTGCTGGGAGATGTAGTTCAGAGCGCGCCTCCCGCCAGGCAGCCGCGCTCGGAGGCTGCGGCTCGGCGACACCACCCCTTGCGCAGGCACAGGCTGTCCTCTGTTCCTGGCGTCCGGTCTGACTTTTCATTATAGAGAGAGACTAAATTAAAAAAAAAAAAAAAAGGTGACAAAAAGAGGTATTCAAATCGCCTTTCCCCTGACTGTGGGAAAGTCCAGATTTGACTGCAGAACTGGCTCGGGTGCCTCTGCCGAGGCACAGCGAACACGAACTGGAAAGCCTGAAGTAACGTCACATCTTCATCTGGCTGTGAAACAAAGCCTGCCCTTAATCCCTCTTCAGTTTTCAGCACCTTTTTGGACAAACACCACAAGATAAAATGATGCTTTATGCTTTACCTCTGTTTCTTTAAAAAACAAAAAGAACAAAGTAAAAGAATTATCTTTTTTCTTCACAATAATCAATCTTGTCTAAAGGGTATCTGCGTTTTCCTAATTAATGCACAGAAAATAAATTTTCCCCCATATCGCTAATGTTTCTAAGGAACTGTTTGAAGATTTGATGATAAACACCAAATTTTGGTTTTCATAAACCACAATACTACGTATTTGCAATGTCCGCATATTTAATAGCCTTCTAGTCCCACCCTGTGGGTCTCAGACGTGTCAGTAGTCTCATTCTGTTCTGTGGAAATCAAATGGGAATTAAGGCTGCAGAAATAGGCTCCTGGCTCAACAATTCGCCCGACCATGTGTTAGGCAGCAATTAATGGCAAAGGACTGATGCAATCAATGAGCCTACAAGCTGCAGAATCACACATCGTGCCACGAGACCACAGGTGATGAGCAGGTCGACTGTAGATCTGGGAAAGCAACTCTAAAATCACCACTCAGGATGTAAGAGAATGCAGTCACATTTAAATACAATGGCGGAAAGAAATAAAAACCAGCAATAAAAACATGTAGCTTAACATGGAAAATAGCCAGCATTGACTTTTACATGTCCCCCTAGATGTCATCCACCCACCACATCATCTGGAAAAAAAAGTAAGAAATTACTGCAGAAATAAGCTTTTAAACTGACCTTTTATTGCAGAAGTTGTAATTTCTCACCATCAAAACACCACAACCATTAAACTTTGTGAATTACAACCAGACAGGCCTTTTGCCTTAAGCAGAATGCATGTGTTGGACTGATGCAGCCTGATGCACGGGTGGGTGGCAGAACGGATTCTTCCTTGTCTGCTTGGGTTGTTATGAAAACAATCTGTAGATCTGAACAAACAGTCATGGCTTCTGTTTTGGGATTCTCAAAACCTGGATTGCCTCCCTTCAAGTTTGATTTTGCTCACCGTCACTGAGGCAACATGCAAAGACCTAAAAATGCTATTATCAAACCTTCTACTTACAAGCCAAAAAATCTGGCCAATTGATCTGGACTCTGAAATCAAGCAAAATAGCCATGATCTGTTTGATAGACGTTGTTGAGGATAATTTAATGTTCAGTTCTTTTCACTTGAATCATGTCTGTACTCCAGTCACAGATGCTGATGATTGTATCCCATCAGAGAGAGAGATCACAAGCTCAAGTCTCCCACCTCTGCTATAACACTTTCACAGTTTTTGTGAGACAGTCTAGTAGTTGATAATAGCTGTACTTAAGGTCATATTCCATGTCATACCAATAATTCACTGAGGAGACAAGAAAAAGGAAAAACATTTCTAAGCCTGGAATGTAATGATTTACAAATGCGTTCATAGACTGTTTTTACACAGTTCAGCTAGTACAGGCTTTTCCTTATTACTGACTGAACTTTGAAATGAGCAAATCTTTGACTACAGCCAAAAATAACATAGGCAAACATTAGAGTTCTTTAATAGCGCTGCCAATACAACTCTGTCTTAACCCAAACCAACTCCTCTTCAAACTCAATACTGGTGATTCCTTGGACCAGAAGCTGGCAAAATGTTTAGGAACAGAAAATGTATGCTTCTATTTAGACCAAAAATACCAAATACACTGCAAAATTTAATATCTGGATAGGAACCTCTCTTCCTCTGAGCACATAAAGGATGGCAAATTCACCACTACTTCACAATGGTCATCAATTAGACAGTGCTTTAATTCTGCTTCTCATTTGAATTTTGGTGTGCATCTCCTAGAAAAAATAAGCCAAGCAGTATAATACTGTACCAATGGTTCCTGGAGGAGGCTATACTCTAGTTTCAGACATTGACTGGACCAGACCCAGAGAATATTGATTTTTCAAGTGTATACAGAAGGTAGTGCAGTTAACAGACTAAAGGCCAAGTAAACTCATCAACTCTAGCATTTCTGCTAGACACAGAAAAAGAGAGTGGCTAGGGGCTTGCAACTGGAAACAACTCTACTTTTTCTCAAAAACCTTTAAGGACTGGTGCAGCAGTACTGGGAAAAGAGAATCAGAAATACTGCTTTACTGCTCGCTTGTCTTTTTATCACAGTATTGCAAATACTGAAGAAAAGGGCTTGCAATATTTGCAGTGTTACACAAACACTGATGTTATGTTGTTCAAAATACTGTGTTTGCTCTTCCTGGGCAGACAGGATTATTCCAGGTAAAGGACAGCAAAAAAACTCTTCCTCAAACCTTGCAAAACTTACAGAATACAATGATAATACTTTGCACTAGCCCCACCCCTCCACCTGCACCAAATGAGCAACGCTTGAAATTCTGGAACTCTCTTCGGGAAGGGAGTGGGGGGAAAGATAGGAGAGAGATGATGATAAATCCTACGAAGAAAGAGATGACAAGACTTTTGATAAGCACAGAGGAACAGTAACACAGGCATAGGCTTATTAGCAAGGTAGGAGACTGGGCTGGAGCAGATTCCAGCTCACACGGCAACCGAGTATCTTCCATGTTGTGTCTATATCCATACGTAAAACTCACACACTTTCTGGTTTCCTCTTCTTCCCCCAGAACATTTTTTGCTGATGAGATAACAGCACACACAACATGCCGTTCCTTTGTGAAAGGTATGTAGATCACCAATTTGCAGTTAGCAGGCTAGGCAGGCAAACTGCTTAGCTCCATGTTATAAACAGAAATTGGATCATGATCACTGAATTAGCTATCCTTCTCCAGATTTGAGAACTAGAAAGATTTCTTCTTCTGCTACATCCCTGGCACATGCCAACAATGGTATGAATTATAAGCAAAAGAGACTGCAAGGAGATAGCCACATGGCATCTGCTGAGATTTCTATTTCCTCCTGAAGGGAGGTAGATAATCTTAAAGGGACCTTTGGTCCCAGTTATGCTTTGCTGTAGCTGCTTTGCTCTAGCTGCACACCCACCACAGGTCAAAAACATATCTGGAAATACTGTGTATTTTACCTGCTATACAGCCATGTGATTGCTGAACATGATGGAACCAGAGAGAAGGCAGGTATAGCATCTCACCAGCTTTCACTGTACACTGCAAAGGTTTTGCCTGAGCATACTCTGGGTACTGTTCCAGATTTGGGTTCAATGGGTCCAGGGGGATCCAGGGCACCTAAAAGCAAGAGAGTATGTATACGGTACTGACCCTGGCAAAAAATTCCAGCAAGCTTCCAGAAAAACAACTGATAACAAAACTTACTAGGTTACAAAACATGTATTTTGCCTAGCAAAACATGTACAGCTACACAGCTTTCCACATTCAACAGGTAATAGGTCAAGGATGCAAAAATTTGCTTCCTTCAGTGAAGCATTTCTAATTAGGGAAAAGGTGCTAAATGTCAGCCATGAAACTTCAGTCTCGTGGCATACTTTCAAAACACCTCCAGCCCCTTAAGTCACTTGTTCTTCCTACATTCAGTACTTGGGTACTTTATGTGCACCACTCTTTTTAGAAATTCCTTTCTTCTTCTAAAGCTCTCTGGTCTAGTTTTATTCCCAGCAACTAAACCCCCCCTTCCTGCTGGGAAATCCCTCTTGCCTGCATTCATTTCTTCTATGTCCTACAGAGTTATAAACCTCAGCACTCCACCTTACTGTGTTACAGGAATGGTCCCATGAGATTCCATGAGCACCACTCTGGAAACAGAGAAAAAGCCCCAGCGCAAGTTCAGCTGAAGCATTAGTCACACATTGCAGAGGCAAAAGGAGAGAGACTAGATACAAAAGGCCACTGAGTTATGTAAACTGCCTCCAGAGCTATATATTTTAATCAAAAGCATATTGATATTACTAAGAAAACAAACTTTGTTCATTGAGACAGATATGTTTTATTGCACTGGGTGATACTGCTATAGAGCAAAATCTAGCTTTGAGTAGAGGGCCAAAAGAAAGTGAATGCAGAGGAGTCTATTTCAGTCCTAATGAAATCAATTCCTTTATTGTTGATTAATTTAAAAGTCCGTTACTGGATCTATTTAAGTTTGGTGCAAGGAAGACAGTTTATGATATCGATGGTTTCAGGTGTGCAGTAAAAATCTTTTCTGGAAGCCGGGTATCCTTTGTGAATAATAAAAGACAAGTGAAATATCTGGGCGTTCTCTTTCCAGTAATGAAGGATTTCTAAATATCAATCAATATGCTCAGTTTGAGGACACAGCAGTGCCCCAAACCATCTTTACTGTATTCATTATGTTCTTTATATACTTTTTACCTTATCTGCACTCTTCTCATCCACAATTTCAAATGAGCCATCTTCTGATACCTGGTAGGTTGCTGGCTGATAAAGCTCTGGAACACAGAAATAATTAAATGACACAACTCAGAGTAGTACTCAGAGAAACTAATGGCAGGGCATGTCACACTTTCACCAAGTAAAAGAAAAATTAAGACAAAACCGTTTTCAACTTAAACTCCTCACTGTCCTTCCATTTGTCCATTTCAATTTTCATCCAGTTTCTTAATTTTTGGCATTTTTAAAAGCCAGTCTGAACACTGAACTCCCTTCCTATTTGGAATTCCAAGCTCCTTTCTTCACAGGAATTATCCTCCTCAAAACCCATTTTACTCCTGGTCCTATCTTGTTCCAGTAACTATCTTGTTTCCCTTTCAGAAGTCATAAATGCATCCCTGACTTACACTTGTTCTATATTCTGGCATTCCTTCTTAGGTCAGTCTAGCAAGATAGCACTCTGTCCTTGTTTCGGTTAGAATAGAGTTAATAGGCTAAACCACGACACACTCACAAGAGTTATTATTGACTTGTTGTCAGCCTTTCACTTCTAATTTTATCTGACAGGGCTCATCAACTGCTTCAGATACTGCAGGTTGCTTTTCTTTCATTGCTTCAGCACATGTGGTTTTCTAAGCCCTCCCTTGAGAGAGTTTCTCTCCATTAACCTGATGTTCAAAAAGATGGAGTTGTCTTTTTACTACACACTACAAAATGTAAGCATTATCTCTGTTCTATGCTTTAACAGTAATTTGTTTTACAAAGTTTGACTCATATGACATATGTGTATTTCAAACATTCATATACGTATGACATCACCTCTCCTATGTTTGGCTGAGACAGATGGGGTTGTTCAGCCCAGAGAAGAGAAGGCTCTGGGGAAACCCTATTGTGGCCTTTCAATATATAAAGGGGGCTTATAAAAAAGACAGAGAAAGACTTTTTACCAGGGCCTGTAGTGACATGACAAGGGGCAATGTTTTCAAATTGAGAGAGGGTAGATTTAGATTGGATATAAGGAAGAAATTTTTTATTATGAGGATCGTGAGACACTGCAACAGGTTACCCAGAGAACTTGTGGATACCCCATCCCTGGCAGTGTTCAAGGGCAGGTTGGACAGGGCTTTGAGCAACCTGATCTACTGAATGGCAGGGAGGGGTGGATTAGATGATCTTAAAGGTCCCTTCCAACCCAAACCATTCTATGATTCTATGATTTCAAGGTTGTAAACAAAATAAAACCAGTATAAATTTGACATAATAAAATATATATACATAATATAAGAATATATAATATGACATTGAGTTGCTAGCACATTTTGTTGCTGGAGCATGTCCAGAGAAGGGCAATGAAGCTGGTGAAGGGTCTGGAGGACAAGTCTTATAAGGAGCAGCTGAGGGAACTGGGGTTGTTTAGCCTGGAGAGGAGGAGGCTGAGGGGAGACCTTATTGCTCTCTACAACTACCTGAAAGGAGGTTGTAGTGAGGTGGGTATTGGTCTCTTTTCCCACGTAACAAGTGACAGGACAAGAGAAAATGGCCTCAAGTTGTGCCAGGGGAGGTTTAGATTGGAAATTAGGAAAAATTTCTTTAC